AGGTTAGAAAAACTAATACGCATAAACTAGTATAAATAACAGGTACACATAATGATACATAACACATATTGTACTTATCCTGGAAAAACTAAATGTATTTATACTTTTAGGCAATTATCATTTTAAGTGACTTTGTACTAATACTGGGAGCAGGAATGGGAGTGCTGATATCTTACGTGGGAAAAAGTAAGCCTTGCACCATTGAAGACTTATTTGTAGGCCTTTCAGTTCACAGCCCCGTTGTTATATAGGATCTTCATAAAAGGCTAAACATTGATAAATCATAATCCACCCAATGTGCTCGTCATATTCCCATATATTCAATTATGCGAGATGCAGAATAATTCAGATAATAGGTAATAGCCTTTTTTTATATACCTCACTTAAGTAATCCAGCCATCTGATTGGTCGAAATTGCATTCATAAACTTCAACTGTTCCTGTAAAATTCCCGGTAACCATGCTTAAAACATTTAATATTTTTAATAACCATGGTTATTAAAAAAAATAGGTCAGTCTCCATGGTTACCCCATAGGTTTACGTGTTAAAAAATGGTTTGAGCGATGGAGGATACCGTATGTGTGCGAATAATTGGTCGGTAATTTCAATACAATTGAATCTCGATCGATCTTACCGACAATTTTATCTTGCATTGTTGACATGAAGACGAAAATAAACTTCCAAAAACAAAAAAACAACATCTGCCGATAGATCTTGATCTAAGTTCGTGCCAATATGCATTGCAAAAGTAAAAGAAGAGTCCGTATATGGAGCTTTTGCGAAGCATTCATCACACGCGAAGCCGGTTTCAATCCATTTTAATGTATATATCGTACAAAACTGCCTTGCATGTTAATAACGCGCGATGGCCGAGAGGTCTGAGGCGCTGACTTTAGATACATCACCTTTTATACGCAAGAGTTCGAATCTCATCTTCGACCACAAAAAAAGTATTTTTTATTTTTTATTTTTTAGTCTATTTTTTTTCGGCATATAAAAGTATTAATGACTGCTTTAATATTCGAGAAATAGTTGTTTTTATACGCTCTCGGGAAGGTTACAATTGGGCTATTCCCCTCGTCACGCCTCAAAGCAGTCATTAATACTATACTACGATAACATTGAAAAAATTACAATATAATATTCTATATATTAAAGGCGTTGTGTGTTTTATCTCGATCCGCTTAAATCTATAAAATAACAATTGTATTTATGGTGATTTCGATCTAGAATACGAATAGTTGGCTACTAAGTATTAAAATCCATGTTTCAATATTTAACAGCTATTAAAAGTAATACAAAGTGTTGGTATGGGGTCATGAATTTGGTTTAAATGAATATATTGGAAGCAAATTCGATTTTACAATATTCATTGATCGTTGTCGCTGTTGAAATCGAGTCTAAAGTGATGACATTGTAAACAGTAAACTCTTTATGTTGTATAGCGCCCTCTCAAGACTGATATTACTTTCTCTTTACAACGATGTTTCTTGACTGCAATCGACCGATTCGTTATTTCCGTTTAGAAATTATTCATCAGAACTACATATTCTGATATTTTCATGGTCGCAGCTACCATGGAATGGCCTTAGACGCTATTTGAAATATTTGAAATTTACCGGGAGCACCGGTAGATTTTTGTTATTATTCCTTTTCTCTAAAGCAGAAGTGTTTTACGGTTTAAATTTTCTAGTACTTATAATACATCCACAGGGGCATCCAAATATATCAAAATTGAAAAGAATTACTATTCATCCAATTTTTAAATTTCCCAAAACTTGACATTACATGTACCTTTAAACAACCTTTAAACTGAACAATAATCTATTCTTGTAAAAAGGAAAACTTGTCAAAATCAATTGAGTTCATAGCATTACAAAAATATCATATAAGACAGACATAAAACATGTATCATAATACCCATTATTTCCAAATGAGTTCTCTAAAATGTTTACTTTACTTTTAAGGCGTAATAAGAATGCCTATCGCATCGTAAAATAACCTAAATTCATTTCTTCCGTCAATCACAGTGAAAAAGTAATTTTTAATCATCTTAGTCATTATAAAACATCATCATTAACATTACCATCGTCGTCGTTTTTTTTTCCTTCTTTTTCTATCACCATCATCATCACAATCGTCATCACCATAACCTTCATCATCGTTATCTTCATCATCATCATTATAATCATTGCCATCATCAGTTTCATCATTATCGTCATCCTCCTCCTCCTCAACTTCTATCACCATCATCATCACCACTACCACCACCATCATTATCCTCCAAAACAACATCTTCACCACCGTCATGTTATTAGTTCAATCAATTCTCAAAATATGAGTCCCCTACAGAAATGGGAACTTTTGAAAATAGGGATACGTGAATGTACACGAAAATTTTGTTGACATAAAGTTGCAGAGAAAAAAGAAAAAGAAAAGGTTTTTTAGAAATAAAGCTTAATGTGCATACATAGGGTTAATGATAATCAAAGTGGAAATAATGACATTGAAAAAGAATAGAGAGTCATAAAGAGGAGCGGGAAAATATATACAAAATAGAATCTAAACGAGCTGCTATCAGAGCTAAGGCAACTTGGAAGAGGGAAAAAGAAGTACGAAATATTTTCTCAGTTTTGAAAAAAGAAATGCTAGCAGAAAAAACATAAATCAGTTAAAGACAGGAAACGGAAGAAGAATTATTGAAAGTTATTTAAACTCCCTCTGCGCCTCAGAATAGTTTACTAGATCGATGGCGCATACCAAATGATATGTACTACTAATACTATTATGGTGCAGAAGATATTGATGTTTAAACCGCAGAATACTACCTTTCTTCCCAAAATATTTCATCTCTTTCTGACGATGAATAAAATATTTGTGAAGGTTAATTAAACACAAAGAGAATGTACACAAACTGTATTCTCAATGAGGAAAAGCTAAACTCCAGACTCTGATAGAATAACCGCGGAATTTTAAAGGTGTTCTGGAATGAGATCTGTGATATTTTAGTTGATGCTTTCAACGAGTGGTATGCCTCAGTCACATTTGCTGTACGAGTAGGATACGGCTGCCGTAGGCCCCCGAAATCGAGAGATTTATGCGGGCGTTTCATTATCTTTTACAGGCCGTATAAATCGCCGTGGGATAAAAGCGCGGAATTATCACTTTTTTTATTTCTAGGTTCTCCATAGCTATTACACAGGACTTAGCCATGCCGTAGAGCGGTTCGACGTCACCCAAACGTCGTGCGTACAATGGCCTTGCGTTTGCTGTGCGGCTGCCTATAAAAGTTTTTTAAAACTAATTTTGGCGAAAACCAGTGTTCGCCTCTGCGACATTATAAGCGACCTTTAGCGATGTTTAGCGACAATTAACAACATTTGAGTGAATGTTTGCGAACGCGTTTGCGAAAGGTAGTTGGTGACTATAAGCGACTGTAATCAAATGTCAGCTACAGTTTTTGCTAGGATTTGCAACTATTTGGCAACCCTTTGCCACTATTTGTGAATGTTTGGGACCTTTTGCTTACTCCTGATATGACTTGGGACGATTTTATATAGAAACCATATGGTTAAGTGATCGCTAGCATTGGCGAATCATAAAGAACTTCAGCGACACCGTCTTAAAACCGTTTGCAAAGGCTTACGACTGTTTTGCAAACGCTTGCAAACTGTTTGCGAAAAAAATAAATTCGCAAAGAAAATTTGTATATTTTCAAAAATTCTTTGCGACAATGAACACTGTTTGCGAACTTTTAATGATTGTTGATTCAATACCATCTATTAAAAAAAAAATCTTAATAGCTTGATGCTTAATTTTCTTTAGAAAAGTAAAATTGAAAAGGTAAAACGATGTATTGTAACTCAGGATTGTTGTAAGTGAGGAATAAGAATGGTCGATGTTAAAAGGCCAAACGTTCAGTTTTAGGCTTAAATGGCTTGTCATGATTTTAGACAATACAAAATAAATTTGGAAAGATATGAGTCAACATTGTGTTGACTGTTTGGGAGGCCTGCATCTAATTCTGAATTGCAATTATACTGATGATGCATTACACCTCTTAAAACTTTTACATTGAAATATTACTTGCATGGTGCCTCATTAAAAAAAACTACACATCAGTTGAATGTCAACCACAGAAAAGTGTTGACGAAAATATTTTATAGCATAATCAAAACTGTTTTTGAAAATAAAATGTTATTTTATGAAGATTGGTATAAAAGTGGTATTATATATCTAAAGGATATCTTTAAAAATTGTACTTTTGTTTCAGTAAATGAATTATATATCCGTCTTAAAACTAGACGAAGTAAAGAACTTTGAATTTGTGACTATACAAAGCTACACAAAATAAATTCCAAAAAACTGGATAAATGATAAGCATAGAGTAACTTTAGGATTCAAAGATCATAATTCCATTACCCCCCCCCCCCCACATTGTATTTGGGAAAGCAGTTAAGCCTGTAAGCCATTTTAGTGGTATAATATGATGAGGTATAAAGAAATCAAATTAAATAAATGGTTGTATTGGAAAAATGTCTTACAGAAGGACGTTTATTCTTGTCCTAATTTAACATAAATTTGGTTGGAATTAAAGAATTTCGTCTACGTGATTTCAATTTCAATCTTTTATATGATATGCTACCAGTTCAGAAAAATCTGTTCAATTGGGCTCCTCTATACGATGACCTTTGTTTAACTTGCCGAGAAACTGAAGATGTTGTTCATGCCTTTTTTCATGTAAGACAAACAAAACCTTCTTTGAATATGTAAAGGACTTAGTTTTACATGCTTTTAATATTGAAATGAATTCGCAAACCGCAATCGCTTTGTTTATGACGATTACATCTTGGTCTATTTATAAATTGATTAATTGTCGTAATAAGTATGGGTATGATTATAAGGAATCGAATTCGATATATTTATTTAAGAGAGAAATGACTCACAGACTAAAATAAATACACATGCGAAAGTAACAAATATGAAGTCTCCTGCAAATTTAATTGGTTATATCTAAAACAATATTATGTTTATTATCGATGTTCCATTGTTTTGCTGAATTGTTTGAAAAATTGTTTTATTGTTGAATATTGAATAAACACCTCATTAGAGGCAAAGAGAAAAAACCCATAGAAAATCACTTTGTTATGCAACATGAAAAATTGCATGGTAGTAAAGATAAAGATAAAGTAAAGACCCTTCCGAGAATCATGAAATTCTATTGGCAACGTTCCGAATAACAGTCAAATGACCACTGTAACTTCAATTCTTTGAAGCATCGCAATTTAAAACCGTATGCATTTTGCATTTTTTAAACCAACGTCATTTATATTCTGTAAATAGCATTCATTAGTTCTAAATTTCCTTCCTATAATTTTTATCTCCAGACGTGATAATGAAAATTATTTCATGACCTAATTTTGTCCGCTTATTACAAATTTTAGCCCTTCATCATCATCTTAATCTGTTTTCACGTAATTGTCTGCTGCTGTCTGTTTAATTGCAACTGTTTTCACCCCCTCCTCCTGGTCTGTGGCTATGGCTTCGTTATCATATCCAAACTTGTCATTCTCGTCATGTTCTTTATCCGTGGTCGAGCGGTGCTTCTTATGGAGGTACATTCCTACTTTGAGTATTGCGATGACTATGGACGTATCGACGTATAGGAAGACCGCATAGAGAGCTGGGTAGAACAGCATGTCGTAGAAGAGTGGTGAGTTGGCGAAACTCACTACAATCAGTGTCGTGGCTAGAGAAACGTTTTGTGAGCCGGTTTCGAAGGAGATAGCGCGACACTTATTATGGGGTTGACGGAGCAAGACAGCCAAGCCATAGCCTAAACCGTAGCCCAAAAATGGGAGCAACATGGCACACATCCATAATTGCCATCCTGCGTTCAGGAAGCCAGGGTTAAGTTTGAAGAACAGAACCCAGGCAACGATCATAAAGAGGAAAGCGACGCCTACGCCGACCTGAAGATACATTGATAAGAACGGGTAAGAATGAAAAAAAGGTAAAGTATACCTGTTCAGGGCAGTATTTCATCAAGCCTTGTAATTGACCTTAATTTTTTTTATGTTAAAGATCGAAACGAATTTTAATTGATTACCCCCCCCCCCCCCCGATGAGTAGCAAGGCATAAATAAGAATGAGGGCAACACTGAAGGCATGGTGCTATATGTCATAATCAAGTTGTTTGAATTGAGATTTGAAGAGAGATGAGAACTTGCGCCACACTAAGGTCCTAAAGGCTAGACATTATATTACATTTGCCTCTCTATACCTAGGAGGGAAACGGGGACCTACTGGTTTAATAGGCATTGCGGTCATCATAATTGCCATATTACATCGCAGTATTCATCTGTTGGGAATACCTACCACGGAGTGGAGATGAGGCACACAGTCATATGAATCTGATGATCGGATGTACTAAACACTGAAATTAAATATGTGAAATCTGGGTTTCTAGCCCTAGAAAATGAACCATCTTAAATGGAGTTTGAAGTTTAGCGTGGTCCTCACGGAATCTTGAAGGTATGTTCAACCCCGAATTGATATAGAAGATGTATGTTTAAGATTATTATACTAACCCTGGTGATATACTTGGTCCATTCTTTCCTCCACCACCGGACAAACACTCCGAAAGCGACGGGAATGAGAATGCTAACCAAGGTGGTTACAATGTTGACATAGGGAATGACTGCACCGTCGTCGGTCCATACTCGGGAATAGATGAAGAGATTGAGGGGCATCATACCTATAGCAACCGCTGTCGAGACTGTCGTCATGCACACACTGTGTCACGTTAGGCAAAAGAAAAGTGGAAGATGTATTTCGAAATATTGCATGACTTGTAAACATGATTGATAACCGCAGGAAGGAAATTTATTGGCACGCTAAATGGTCTCTGAAAATTATAAGGATGTTTTTCACTAATTCTGTAATAATAATAATATAGATTATATACCTCACTTAAGAAATCCAGCCATCTGATTGGTCGAAATTGCAGTCGTGATTTTAGCCATTCCAGTAAAGAAACGAAAAATGCCCAAACCATTTACTAGTTCAAGAGTAAAATCCCGGCAAAATTTCAGTTACCGGGAAAATAATGAAATCTTGCTGCGATACCCATTGGTTTACGTGTTAAAATGTTCTTTGAGCGAGCGCGGACACCAGTGCTTTTTGTCTGCGATTCCCAACTGATCGAAAATTTCAGTCATTTTCGGGTGGTGATAAACAGACAGTTTATCAGATTTTCCGTGATGTTTTAACCAATCTTCACTCGATAAAAGTATAAGGTAAGAATTCTTGGTAGACTTTTGTTTGAATTCGGCATATAAAAGGGATATCGACTGCTTTAATAATCTAGGACTGGCTGTTTCTACTTGCTTTAAGACCGCGGCGCGCCTCAAACAAACAAACAAATCTACAAAGAATTCTTACCTAATCCTTTTCTTTGAGTAAAGACTGGTTAAAACATCAAATAAAATCTGAGACACTGTTTGTAAATCTAAGTTAGAAAGTTGCCTGAATGTAGCGATCATTCGGGAATCGCAGACAAAATAACACTGTATGTTATCCGCGCTCGCACAAAGAAACCTGTACACGTAAACCGATCTCAGCAAAATGTATTTGTGCAGCCCGTTACCCGGTGCAACCGGCATCTTTAACAAACTATTGACCGGTAGGCGGGCATACACTCTGTACCTGTAGGCGGGCATGGCTAAAATCACGACTCCAATTTCGACCAATCAGATGGCTAGATTTCTAAAGAAAGGTATATAATGATAATGACATACTACTAATAATAATATCACATTGATAAGTTCCTTTTTATTAGAGCAAAGCGCATAAACAAGAACTATTTACGAACAAACAAAGAGAGAAATTTATCATACGAAATTTTACTTTAATTACGATTTATTTGTTCTACTGAGGTAATATGTTAGTGGACATTAATAGATTTTGATACATTTGAAACGTGATCTGACATATTCATATGCTTGTCAAACATGCGAAAAGATGGCAAAGATGAAATAATGGCCATTGCTCCTGTGGCCATCGCTCAACCTCCACCACCTTTTTTCGTAATCACAATTATTTACCTGAGACATACATCACCGTCAGTCCAGTATGTAAATAGATTCGAGAGGGTGCCCCCGGGACAGCAGGCAAGAATGAGAACTGAGAGAGCCCCCGCGGCCTCCAGTCTGAAAGCAAGCCCGAGACAGAATGCGATGAGGGGCATCAGGACAAACTGACATAGCATCCCAACGAAGAAACCAGCCGGATGACGAAACTGTGGTTAAAAAGTTGTAAGCACAATCACAAAGATTTTCGAGAATTAAGCTCAAAGGCATTTAAATACACTGATGTCAATCCCATAAAAAAAAATCCAATTACGTAATACGTCGATATAGCGTAAAATCATTTTAATAGATGATGGACAAGGCTATTACAATTGCCTAAGTCTGATTTGCAGAAAACATATGGAATCATATTTTCATACAAATATTGTTAAATTTTCAATACAAAAGAAAATAGGCCTACATATGGCCTGCATGAACATCACTAACATCAGTAGGATGATGAGTATGATGATCTGCTCTAGACATTATTTCCAAGATAAGGTCCATTACTAATGAGGTTTTAACAGCAATTTGAATATTTCTTACCTTGCAATAATGTTCTTACTTTACTGAACAGTCGGCTATCATGTTTTGTTTTGGTCTTGCAATTGTCGGGTAAGCAAACTGCCCTTTCACCCCCTTCAAGCAAGCTGGTTGCCTAGGCTTTTAGTTTATTTAATGCCAGATACTGACCGTTTGTTTCAAATCCTTGAGATCGATGGTGCAACCCATAGAGATCATCAAAAATACCAGGATTAAGATGTTGACCACCTGGGTGGCCAAAGTGAGCGCTTCAGTGGTGCTATCATTGACAGTGCCATTCCTTGTCGTGTTCATCATGGTCGTCATTTTCATAGTTGACATCTCCATTTCCCTGAGGAAACAATTATTTATTTCATTTCATTTCATTTATTTATTTCGCTCTCTTTTAAAAAACATTAAAAAAAATAAAAGTATTACATGTTCGTTCATTATCAACATAAGATAAAAGGAAGTGGGGAATCATGAAAGCCAAAATTGGCTTGATGAGAATGATTCCCAAATAAATACTAAGCATAAACAAGATGCAAACTTATTTTATATAAAAAACACATACATTTACAACAACAGAGGACAGAGAAAAGATAACGATAACACGGTAAAGATAGTGACAGGGAAGACAAGAAGAGAGAAGTCACAGCTTGAGTGTTACATTTTACATGATAAATTACAATTTCATTTTGTTCCGCTTGAATAAACCTTGTACATGTATTTGAGCGTTTTAAAGTATTGCACTGTTTTAAGACATCTGGCAGACTAAAACATTTATCTTCAATACAAGCATGACAAATGAAGCAGTAAGTAAAACCCCAAATAAAAATCAAGCACCAAAACATTTGTTCTAGGCATTATCATTTACGCAGTGGTTGCGAGAATTTAAAAAAAATTTAGCATGAAGGGAGAATTGTAACTTTTAAATTCTAACTTCTAAGAGGTCTCCATAACTCCAGCATAGGTCGATGTACAGTAGTATTATGCAATCGTCACTCGTTAAAAATATGTTTTCCCCCGTGTTTCTGCATATTTGAGCTTTACATAATGTCAACATTATGTATAACCGGGGAACACTCACTAGATATCATAGGCTAGTGTCATACTATATAAATCATCCGACCAAAGACTGGACTACTAGAGCCGTAGGGGGACAGGGGCGTCGCTAGACTTTTTTTCAGTGGGTGGGGGGGGGGAGTAAAGACCACCGATTACAAACAAAACTAGCCACCAAATACCGACAAATATATTAATGCCATGTCTACAAATTTAACCCTATAAGCCCGGGGACCGCATACAACGATGTGCTCGGTTTACTTTTTCTTCCGCCCCTCCTCTACACCTGTTATCAAAATTCTACCGAGAAAAAAAAAATCCATAATTTCTGGTAGCCATGCTAACCATAATCGGACCACCAAACCATGTCAATCACATTTCGTTTTTCTATTACATGTGCTATTTCAGATAACAATAATTTTTTTTCTCCATTTTTTGAACCCTCCAACAGGCCATTTATTGAAAATCAATCTCAAGATAACATATTTGAACTCATGTTCCAATGAATATCATATAATATTTCATAATAAGATATACATAACGAATATCAACCATATTATAACAATAAATTGTGGGTAATATACGGTGTAAAAAGGGATATAGGTTTTTTAATTGTTCTCAGTATTTGTTTTACCTCTCGTACAGCTCTCATGAGCCAACCAGCCCCCTTTTCCCGGTCGATGCAATATCATGGAACACTGAAAGAAAAAATATTATATATTTACCTGCCAGTAGGGGCGGCAAACCCGGGGAATCTTAAACAAACAAAAGGAGCAATTTTATAATATCTTGATACGCCACTGCTTATACTGTCGTTTTTTTGGTCACATTCATGCAATTTTTTAAATTATGGTTTATGAAATAAAGCTATAATTAAAATCAATACAAATTTAGAGGTGTTGTGATCTAGTGGATAAGCCGTCAGACTGTGGATCACAGGGGTTCGAGTTCCCTCGCGGCACAAATTTCCTTAGGCAATTGCCACTCTACACCCAGGTGTTGAATGGGTACCGGTAGGAAGGAATTCCTTGAACTTGCTGTGAGCGCCAAAATCGGCAGCCTAGCACAGCCGGGTAAAATTCGGAGCGCCTTGAGCACCTCCGGGCGCGGATCCAGGGGGGGGGGGTGCAAGCGGGCCTGGCCCCCCCCCCCCCCCGCAAAAAAAAAAAGGAGAGAGAGAGAAGGAAAGAACGGAAAGGGAAAGAGTTGAGAAAGGGAAAAAAGAAGAGGAAGAAGAAAAGAAAAGAGGGAAGAAGTAGATCGGGGGGGGGGGGGGCAAAAGGACTTTCCTCCCAGGCTGTTGTCCCCCCCCCCCAAATCAAAAAATAAAAGAGAAGGAAGGAAAGGGGAAAAAAAGGAAAAGAGGAGATACAGGGAAGGAAAAAAGAGGAAGAAGAAAAGAAAAAAGGGGATAACGACACAACAAATCGTCTTCTTTCTCTAATGATTTAATGAAACGTAAGCTTCCACTTTCATAGCGCGGGAGGGGGAAAACTCAATTCAGACGAGGATTATTTTTTGGGAACGGTACAACAAATCGTCTTCTTTCTCTAATAATTTATTGAAATGTCAAAGCTTCCGCGTTTCGCGGAGCAGGGAGGGGGAAACTCGCCCCTCCCTGCACCCACCCACCCCCAATTACGTCACTGCTGGTCACCATTACGAACCAATATTTGACTCGCATAATTTCAAATTTTGCCCCCACCCCTAAGAAATCCTGGATCCGCGCCTGATGTATATACAACGGCAACAGTTTCAATATAAAATATAAGTTCTTCTTACTTAAATCATTGGTCTGGAAACAATTATTTGCCCATTGTTGTGTATTGTATTACATTTTCACTGACAATGAATTCACATTGTAATGCAATTTTCAAGTTTCCCAGGCTTATTTAGGAGAACAGAAGATTGATACTGTTTAGTTGTACGATAACATCACTCAGTTTGTTTTGATTTGATTGGAGATATATCTCATTAAAAACAGAGTAAAGGCTATACAGGCCATTAAACTTCAAGCTCACTCACACATGATTTATTGCGACACTTTCAAGGCTACTTATTATTTCAAGTTCATGTATATACAAAGGGCAACTGCTTCAATATCAAACGTAATTAAATCATTGGTCTGGAAAATGTTAATGCCCATTGTTGTATATTATACAACATTTTCCATAACGATGAATATACATTGTATAATGCAAATTTCAGGAAAACCATATTTGTCATTACTGTTATATTTGTTATATGATACTAAAGCAAATCGTTTCGCTTATCGATAAGATAAATCAATGTGAAGTACGTGTCAAATAATGAAATCATTACGTGCTATTTTTAACCGGACTAGACATTTGAAATGTATAAAAAAATGTATACACTATTGACAGCAAGCAAGTTTTTTAAACAAAGAATTCAGAAATTGAACAACATTGCACATTTAGTCTACACGGCATGCTCTACAACCTTAGTTGGACTGTAAACAGTTGTCTTCTTAAGTCTTCCATATAAATATAAATTTAAAGGAGGTCAATAATCATTATGAAAACACCACTTTCGAAAGGTTGACACATCAATATATATTGTGCACACATGTAACAATGTGATAATATTTTTTCTTGGGGGGGGGGGGACGGGGGACGGGAGGAGGGCAAGCCAAAAAGGGACTGATATGTGAACATTTATATTGATAGGTCGCTTCACAAAAGGGGCATATATACATAGTCCTTTTTTGTGGATAGTTTTTGAGCAAAACACAAAATAGGTGGAGCCAACGTCCACACAGGTCACATCGCACCCATGAAGGTTTTGGCCCGAATTTACAAAGGAGGTTTGTCGACAAATCTAGGTTTATGTGCTTCATATGACGCGTTTCGATGCGTTTCAGACCAAGGTTTAGACAAACCTTTGTCTGAAACGCGTCATATAATTATGACGCACATAAACATAGGTTTGTCTACAAACCTCCTTTGTGAATTCGGGCCTTTGTGAATTCGGGCCTTTGTGTCTGTGTCCTTCCCTGGCTTTTCACACTACACTCTTTTGCGAGATGCCCCACTTTCCGAGAATCTATTCTCTTGGACACAGCTAGAGCGTTTCTGTGATTGATTGATTTTTATTTCTCATGCAAAACATAATACAAAAATAATTATATCACAACAAATATGTAATGAAACGATAAATATAGTGGAAATAGCACGAGAAAAGAGGAACTAACTTGAAGAAGAGCTTGTTGAAGTGTTAGTTCCTCAGATGCAAATTTTACAATAAAACATGAACAAAGTATGCTTATAGATCAATAAATAGACAATATGTAGTAAGGAAGAAGAAAAAAAAAAGAAAAAAATGAGGAAGAAAAAGAAAAGAAAAGAAAAAAAATGAATGGAGGAAAATAGTAGAAGACAAAAACAAAAGCTCTAGAAAAGGGAGATTGAGAAAGAGATGCAGTCGAGAGTCAAACAAACCGAGATTCTATCATGTACATCTATATGTGTCTAAAAGTTTAGTCTTTAACCTTTTTTAAAAATGCATAGACTAATACTTTGTTTAAGAGATGGATCTATGTTATTCCAATATACTGGACCGGTGTAAATAATTGTCTTTTGTGCGAAAGCTGTTCTCATTCGAGGAGTGTGGAAGTGGTTCGACTGTCTTGTGGGGTATGAATGTATATCGTTATTTTTTTGGAAAAAGGAGGAAATCGGGAGAGGTAACTCGTTATTAATCAGCTGGAACATAAAGATACCGAGGTACCAAGAATACGAGTCTTTAATTTTAAGAATTGAAATTGCAATTGAAAGCGAAATGTGCGAGTCAGGAGCGGCGATCCCGGGGGAAGGACGGGGTACATGTCTTCCCTCAATTTTCTGAGGGGGATCGTCCCCCATGGATAATTTGAAAAAGTGCACACCAACAAAATGTGTAGAAAATACTGACTAAAGACTGCAACACGCTATAAGGCTCTGGTGGGCCCAAGAGTACAGCGTTTAGACTAATAGAAATGCTAACATCTTCTCGCTCGGTCGCTATAGCTCCTTCGCATAATATCCTAAAAATTTACAAGTAAATATTGTAGAAAATATGTATTCTGTTGGTATCACGTATGTACAGTTTACACTGTATGTTAACAAGATTAAAAGTTATAGAAATAGATCAGTGTTCCAAAAATGAATATTCAGCTTGCTCGTTAAAGAAGTCCCTTCCTGCTCAGTACTTACTAAAATTTACCTAGTAAATATTTACAACCCTTCGGACTGCACACTAGATATCGGCAAAGTAAAAGTGAAGCGTGAAAAAAGTATATTGCTTGTTTTTATGCTGTAGTTTTGCTAAAGAATGTAATTTTGTAACACAACAAAACTTCAAAAACATGTGAGGGGTTTACATATAAGACTTATCATACAGCTTTATGGGGGTAGTCCCTTCCGTCACCTCCGCCTCTTTCACTTGCGTACTGATGGGGGGGGGGAGGGGCAGTAACCCCCCCAATACAATTTAAACATGAGTTATTTTTAATTTGATACCAGTGATTTACAAGTATTGCTAAAATGGCAGTATTTTTCATTGAGCTCCCGGGGGCTCTACCCCCTGGAACCCACCAAGGGCCCTAAGGCGGGCCCCTGTTTGCTCATCTGGCCGTAATTAAATGCCTAAAGTCCTTGAGCTTTCGGGGGCTCTGCCCTCTGGACTCAACCAAGGGGCCTAATGCGGGTCCCTAGATGCGTAATTTGGTGCCTAAAAGCCCTTCCGTTATGTATTTCTTATGTATTTCTTTGTCTTTCTTTCTCCGTATCCTCTGCACTCTCCTTATGTATTTTTTTGTTTTCCCTTTTCTATTCCCTTCCCTTCCCTGGGTATACGTGCTTGCACATGTACTCTATATGGCTAAACAGTTTTGTAAAAAAAAATATGCGCGAACGGTCAAGGAGTAAGAAGAAGGCAAAAAGAGAACAAAGACGGCATCCATGGAAGCCATGTGAGAGTGTCCACTTTTTTCGCTTTTACTTTCACCCTTGCATTCTTTCCTGAATCAGAGTTTTCTCACACCTTGTAGACTCGTGCAGGTTATGATCTTGTGTGTGTGTGTGTGTGTGTGTGTGTGTGTGTGTGTGCGTGTGTGCGTGGGTGTGTGTGTGTGTGTGTGTGCGTCCGCTATAACAAAGAGAGAAATAAGGAAAAGGGAAAGAGGAGAGCTAAAGGGAACAAAAAAGAGGAAGAAGAAAAGAAAAGGGTGAAAAGAACGGGAGATCAGTTCCGGTTAATCCCGCCAACAACGTGTGGATCGGGGTAGGGGCCGAAAGGCCCCCTTGCCCCCCCCCCCCCCCTCGGCAAACCTTAAGGAGGAGAGAAAGGGAAAGAAGAAAAAAGAGAAAGAAGAAAAGGGGAGGCACTGGCGTACTGATAGGGGGGGGGCTTGGGGGAATTCAAATGCAAACGTGGTTTATTTCGAATTTCATAATGGTAGCTTACAAATAATGCTGAATTCTTTCCGAGATTTTTCCTCAGTTTTTAGTAAATTATACTTTTGTATGCGTTTGTTGGAAAATGACAAATTCCTAAATTTACAGCCAGGCAAGAAATATGATTCTTGAGAAAAGTTAGGGCCCGGGATCGACTGGAATCGCAAGCCTCGAGCCCCCATCCCCCACACTTTTTTTGAAAAGGTATAGTAAAGAGAAATAGAAATAAAGAAAGCAAGAAAGAAAGAATAGTTAACTAGCTGCTCATCTGACCGAAATTAAACGTCTAAAAAGCTTCCGGGGTTCCGTCCCTTGCACCCCGCCTAGGGCCCTAGACTCCCCTGGATGCTAATCTGACGGAAATGTAATGCCTAAAACCCCCGTTTTCTGAGGGCTTCGCCCGCTGGACCTCACGCCAATTAGTGTCCTGCCAGTGTCAAAAATAAGGTATAAAAATATGTTCATCTGACCGTAATCAAATGCCTAAAACCCCTGAGCTTCCCGGGTCGGACAAGGTATCAAAATTTGTTTATCTGACCGCAGGCGAGTAGCCAGGGGGGGGGGGGATAGAAAAAAATAGAGAGGAGAGGAAAGGAAGAGGACGTAGGGAGAAAAAGGAGCAGACAAAAAACATCTTTGAAATTCAGACAAGAATTAAGAGTATAGAGAACGGTACAACGAATCGTCTTCTATCTCTAATAATTTAATGAAACGTCAAAGCTTTCGCGCTTCGCGGAGGGGGGGGGGGGACTGAATTAAGACAAGGATTAAGAGTATAGAGAACGGTACAACGAATCGTCTTCTATCTCTAATAATTTAATGAAACGTCAAAGCTTCCGCGCTTCGCGGAGAGGGGGCAGAATTAAGACAAGGATTAAGAGTCGAGAACGATACAACGAATCGTTTTCTTTCTCCAATGATTTAATGAAACGTAAAAGCTTCCTCGCTTCGCGCGAGAGGGGGGAGGGGGGGCTGAATTAAGACAAGGATTAAGAGTCGAGAACGGTACAACGAATCGTTTTCTTTCGTCAATGATTTAATGAAACGTCATATATAGCTTCCGCGCTTTGCAGAGGAGGGAGGGGGAAACTCGCCCTCCCTACATCCCCCTGCATTACGTCACTGCTGGTCACCATTACGTACCAATATTTGGCTCGCATAATTTCAAATTTGGGCCCCCCCTAAGAAATCCTGGATCCGCGCCTGAGCACCTTGCATGGTGAATATGTGCGGTATATAAAATATCCGATGTTATTATTATTATAAGTCAGAGTAAATTTTATCAAATATATGCTCTCAAGTTTTGTACCATCATAGCATTCCTCTTCATCTCTTTAATCCCAACCTTTCATCTCCACATTTTTTTAAAACTCTTACTCCAAGTTCAATTTAAATGCATAGGGTAAATCCAGCATCTGTGTTGGATATGAGTAGCGGATCTGTGGGTATGCCGGTCGGCTTCCGTCGAATTTCATGCATTACCTTTAGAATCAATTTGGACTTCATTATTTTAATTTTGAACAGGATTCGCTATTCGAACTATTGGAGAAGATTAGAGCTTAAAATGATAATAGCCCTATGCGAAAGAAGTACAGTAATGTGTACTCACCGTATTTCACTTGTGCTATAATCTTGATAACAAGGGAATCTCGTCCAAATGCGGCAGCTCAAACGTACGTTTTGCTAAAGACTAAACCTATTTTCAAATGAAAATCGTATATTTAAACATACGCCCATGTATATCTACAGTCAGTGTATGTTCTTTGTAAGACAACGTCATCGGAGTCAATATTGATTTCGCTTTGCAGCCCGAAATATAATTCGTGAATAGAAGAAACACAGTAAATATGGGGGGGGGGGGGTCTTCCAAAACTTTTGTAACGCCTACCTGTATTATTTCCACTGTGATTACACTGGACTTTGACTTTATTATTATTCCTTTCATAACACCTTTCATTGCCAGGAGGCAGGGGGAAACGAGGCCCCCTTTTTGGTAGTAATAAAGTAATAACAAGTTGTGAAAAGTATGATCCGTGTTCAATGTTTACAGTCCATTGGCAAAGTGGTCAAATCAAATTACAGTTATTTTCAAATAAAATAATACGAAGAGCTCTTAATGGAAGCTCTTTCCGTACTGTCTTAACGATATCTTTCTCCAACACTGTCACTAAAATCATCATGTTGCATTACAAAAGTGTTGTAAAATGACGTACGAGATATACGAGCAACATGGGCTGACGTACTAAACTGAATTACGTATACAAACGGTCATTAAGCACATATAATGATGATGATAATAATAATTATAATAATAATAATACAAATAATAATGATAATGGTAATGATAATAATAATATTAATAATAATATCAGTTACCTTTATAACGCACATATTCACCTCGTATTCCGGGGGGAAAATTCAATGAATTATTGATACTTTATTGCATTTTCTTTGTTTTTTATTTTATTTTTGGAATTTGCCCCCTACCCTAGCCCCCACTGCGTACAGTCATGGTTCAGTGGCACAGCAATCGCCTCGTAACTGTGAGGCCCCAGGTTTAAAACCGTGTCGATGTGCTATATTAGTGCCCTTTTGTGGGGCATTAATCCTCATTAGTGTTATTTACGGCTTAAAGGCGTATGTCCCCTAGTTGATATAGAAACATATTAGCATACACATGCTTTGGCAGTCAGGCAAAACAAACACTGGCAATGTATTATTCAATACAATCTGAGAATGTATACTATTATCTAGATCTATTAGGAATAAATCATTGTCAAAATAATTCCATAAATTGGAGTAAAAAAAAATATTCCAACGTTATGAGCGACAGTGTATAATACCAGAAGCTACACGCATACCTGAGTCATTCACAATCTACTATTTCTCCGATTTGATGCGTTAATATATTTGATTTTCAGTTTGTGTTATGATTTACAACGTATAGTTCCATTACTTGTTTCGAAATTCTGCCATTCAGCCAGTTGGCCTTCACATATTTTTCAAAAAAATTATTGCTATCCATAATTACCGAAATAATTATCTGATTACAATTATATACCTCACTTAAGAAATCCAGCCATCTGATTGGTCGAAATTGCAGTTATGGTTTTAGCTATTCCTGTAAAAATTCCCGGTAAAATTCCAGTTACCGGGAAAATAGTTCAGTGTGAACCCATAGGTTCACATGTTAAAAACTGGTTTGAGCGATCGAGGATACCATACGTGTGCGAAGAATAGGGGGGGGGGGGCAAGGGCCTTTCGGCCCCCACCCTGATCCACACGTTGTTGGCGGGATTAACCGGAACTGATCTCCCGTTCTTTTCACCCTTTTCTTTTCTTCTTCCTCTTTTTTTGTTCCCTTTTAGCTCTCCTCTTTCCCTTTTCCTTCTTTCTCTCTTTGTTATAGCGGGGGCGGGGGGAGGTAAGGGCCTTTTGCCCCTCCTCGATTCCACCGGCGGGAAAATTGCAAATGATATCCCCTTTCTTTTCTTTTCTTCTTCCTCTTTTTCCTTTCCTTTATCTCCTCTTACCCTTTCCCTTTCCTTCCTTCTCTCTTATTTTTTTTATTGGAGGGGGGGGGGGGGGTGCAACAGCCTGGGAGGCAAGGCCCTTTCGCCCCCCCGATCTCCTTCTTCACCCTTTCCTTTTCTTCTTCCTCTTCTTTCTTCTGGCGCTACACCTCTTACAAAAACAAAATGCAAAAATATCCAAAAAGAGAGGACTGCAATGGGGAACTTTGATTTAAGCTATACGCGACCATTATTCTCTCATTTCCTTTCACATTGTATCTTATAACCATGTGAATTGCCAAGCTATTGTATTCGTTATTTCGTTACACGCACACACAAACACGCACACGCACACACACACACACACACACACGCACACGCACACACACACACACACACAAAATCATAACCTGCACGAGTCTACAAGGTGTGAGAAAACTCTGATTCAGGAAAAAATGCAAGGGTGAAAGTAAAAGCGAAAAAAGTGGACACTCTCACATGGCTTCCATGGATGCCGTCTTTGTTCTCCTTTTGCCTTCTTCTTACTCCTTGACCGTTCGCGCATATTTTTTTTTACAAAACTGTTTAGCCATATAGAGTACATGTGCAAGCACGTATACCCAGGGAAGGGAAGGTAATAGAAAAGGGAAAACAAAAAAAATACATAAGGAGAGTGCAGATGATATGGAGAAAGAAAGACAAAGAAATACATAAGAAATACATAACGGAAGGGCTTTTAGGCACCAAATTACGCATCTAGGGACCCGCATTAGGCCCCTTGGTTGAGTCCAGAGGGCAGAGCCCCCGAAAGCTCAAGGACTTTAGGCATTTAATTACAGCCAGATGAGCAAACAGGGGCCCGCCTTAGGGCCCTTGGTGGGTTCCAGGGGGTAGAGCCCCCGGGAGCTCATGGAAAAATACTGCTATTTTAGCAATACAGGGACTACCCCCATAAAGCTGTATGATAAGTCTTATATGTAAACCCCTCACAGGTTTTTGAAGTTTTGTTGTGTTACAAAATTACATTCTTTAGCAAAACTACAGCATAAAAACAAGCAATATACTTTTTTCACGCTTCACTTTTACTTTGCCGATATCTAGTGTGCAGTCCGAAGGGTTGTAAATATTTACTAGGTAAATTTTAGTAAGCTGAATATTCATTTTTGGAACACTGATCTATTTCTATAACTTTTAATCTTGTTAACATACAGTGTAAACTGTACATACGTGATACCAACAGAATACATATTTTCTACAATATTTACTTGTATATTTTTAGGATATTATGCGAAGGAGCGTAGCGACCGAGCGAGAAGATTTTAGCATTTCTATTAGTCTAAACGCTGTACTCTTGGGCCCACCAGAGCCTTAAAGCGTGCTGTAGTCTTTAGTCAGTATTTGCTATACATTTTGTCGGTGTACACTTTTTCAAATTATCCATGGGGGACGATCCCCCTCAGAAAATTGAGGGAAGACGTGTACCCCGTCCTTCCCCCGGGATCGCCGCCCCTGACTCGCACATTTCGCTTTCAATTGCAGAACGCTCTAGCTGTGTCCGATAGAATGAATTCTCGGAATGTGGGGCATCTCGCAAAAGACATGGGGAAAAAAATGTGTCGTGTGAAAAGCCAGGGAAGGACACAGACACAAAGGCCCGAATTCACAAAGGCCCGAATTCACAAAGGAGGTTTGTAGACAAACCTATGTTTATGTGCGTCATAATTATATGACGCGTTTCAGACAAAGGTTTGTCTAAACCTTGGTCTGAAACGCATCGAAACACGTCATATGAAGCACATAAACCTAGATTTGTCGACAAACCTCCTTTGTAATTTCGGGCCAAAACCTCCATGGGTGTGATGTGACCTGTGTGGACGTTGGCTCCACCTATTTTGTGTTTTGCTCAAAAAACTATCCAAAAAAAAAGGTCTATGTATGCCCCTTTTGTGAAGCGACCTATCAATATTAATGTTCACATATCAGTCCCTTTTTGGATTGCCCTCCTCCCGTCCCCCCCCCCCCCCCAAAGAAAAAATATTATCACATTGTTACATGTGTGCACAATATATATTGATGTGTCAACCTTACGAAAGTGGTGTTTTCATAATGATTATTGACCTCTTTTAAATTTATATTTATATGGAAGACTTAAGAAGACAACTGTTTACAGTCCAACTAAGGGTGTAGAGCATGCCGTGTAGACTAAAATGTGCAATGTTGTTCAATTTCTGAATTCTTTGTTTAAAAAACTTGCTTGCTGTCAATAGTATTTTTTTTTTTCATACATTTCAAATGTCTAGTCCGGTTAAAAATAGCACGTAATGATTTCATTATTTGACACGTACTTCACAGTGATTTATCTTATCGATAAGCGAAACGATTTGCTTTAGTATCATATAACAAATATAACAGTAATGACAAGTATGGTTTTCCTAAACATACCATTATACAATGTATATTCATCGTTATGGAAAATGTTGTATAATATACAACAATGGGCATTAACATTTTCCAGACCAATGATTTAATTACGTTTAATATTGAAGCTGTTGCCCTTTGTATATACATGAACTTGAAATAATAAGTAGCCTTGGAAGTGTCGCAATAAATCATGTGTGAGTGAGCTTGAAGTTTAATGGTGTAGGTTTGTTTGATACTGTATAGCCTTTACTCCGTTTTTAATGAGATATATCTCCAATCAAATCAAATCAAACTGAGTGATGTTATCGTACAACTAAACAATATCAATCTTCTGTTCTCTTAAATAAGCCTGGGAAACTTGAAAATTGCATTACAATGTGAATTCATTGTCAGTGAAAATGTAATACAATACACAACAATGGGCAAATAATTGCTTCCAGACCAATGATTTAAGTAAGAAGAACTTACATTTTATATTGAAACTGTTGCCGTTGTATATACATCAGGCGTGGATCCAGGATTTCTTAGGGGGGGGGGGGCAAAATTTGAAATTATGCGAGCCAAATATTGGTTCGTAATGGTGACCAGCAGTGACGTAATTGGGGGTGGGTGGGTGCAGGGAGGGGCGACTTTTCCCCTCCCTCCTCCGCGAAACGCGGAAGCTTTGACATTTCAATCAATTATTAGAGAAAGAAGACGATTTGCTGTACCGTTCCCAAAAAATAATCCTCGTCTGAATTTAGTTTCCCCCCTCCCGCGACTTGATTGATTGA